GGTCAAGGGCATGTACCTTGGTTGCAGGCACATCCCCAGTAGGGGGTGTGCAGGAGGCAGCTGATGGATGTTTCTCTCTCATTGATGTTTCTGACTCTCTATCCCTCTCCCTTCCTCTCCGTAAAATATCAATAAAATATATTTAAAAAAATAAATAAATAAATTTAAAAATAAAGTAAAATGGACCCCCACCTCCGTGGCCCCCCAGGGAAGGTGGCCTCATGCTCTGTGGGGAGGTACAGCAGCTCTGCCTTTGTGGTGTCGCGTGTACGGGGCGGGCAGGGTGCCCGGGAGGCCTCCCGCCGCCCACAGGCCTGTGACTTCTGTGCCAGAAGGAGGACCGCCCAGACCCACCAGGCGTCCACACGGTGGGGAGAGGCTGAGGGACAAGGGCCGCGAGTCCAGGGAGGGGACATCCTGTGGACGAACGCACGGCTTCGGAAGGAAGCCCGGACCCGCGTCACCTCCGGGCGAGGACCCGGTGGGCGAGGAGCGGCCTCTCGCGGTGCCTTCCTGTTCCCGCGCCCGCACCCTCTCGCACGCGTTCTCCTCCATGTCCTCTGGCCCCAGGTTCTACGCTGCTCATCTGGGTCGGTCCGGCTGTCACGGTGCCGTGGCTGCCGAGCCAACCGCCCGTCTGCAGCAGAGGGAGCGGCTTTCGGGACCAAGTCACGCTCCTGGGAGCCCAGGCACCGGGGTCGGAGCTGCACCCGGCGTCCCGGGGGGGCCAGGGCCGGGCACTCACGCTGCCGGGGGTCAGACGGTGTCCCCCAGGATTCATGTCCACCTCGGGCCTCGGAGCGGGGCCTTATTTGGACTCAGCCTCCTCGCAGATATAATTAGTTCAGGCTCTCAGATGAGTCATCCCGGGTTCATGGGGCCCTGACTCCCAAGAAAAGAGGCCGGCGGCCGGCTCAGCGGCTGAGCGTCCACCTAGGAACCAGGAGGCCATGATTCGATTCCCAGTCGGGGCACAGGCCCGGGTTGCGGGCTCCATCCCCAGTGGGGGGCGTGCAGGAGGCAGCCGATCCGTGATTCTCTCTCATCATGGATGTTTCTCCCTCTCCCTCTCCCTTGTGCTCTGACATCAATAAAACTATATACATATTTTTTAAGTGTTTTTAAAAAATAAAAATAAATGCCATGGATGCCAGAGCCACCTCATGGCACCAGCCCCCATGCCCCACACCTCTCACCCGCATGGATGTGCTCACGTCCACCCCAGGGCACCTCCCAGCTCACCGAGGGCACCTCCCAGGGGCCTGGCCGCGCAGGGGGGCCCCTCCCGGCCACACCTCCGCC